GGGAGCCCCTCAGGGAAGCCCCCTGCGAAAACTGCAGGCAACCTGGTGGATATTGAAAGAAGCAGATTCACAGATTGAAGGAGGGAAGGAGAACGACAGACACGGAGCAAGAGATAGAGAAACAGAAGCAGGAGAGAGAAGCAACGGTCCTCTCCAAGCTGTTTTCAGACTGACCCCAAAGACCGGGGTGGGCGCGAGTTCGCCCCTTGCCACTCGAAAGCCTCCCTTTCTTGGAAACAAACAACAGGCAGGAACCTCTTCTTTCAAAGAATCCGTGTCAGAAGAAAAAAAGGATACTGCGATAGCCCCTCATTCGTATTTTAATTCCTCCCAAATGCTTCGGCTCTTTTTTTCATAGATGAGTGGGTCCGTCCTCTCCTTTTGAAGTGAGAGAGTTTATTTTCTTAGAATGCGTCCTTTGCATTCTTAATCAGAGGTAGCCCTGCCTATGTTGAATACAGATGAGGGCAAGGCTCTCCTGTTCTAAGGAACACCATGAACGATAGAACCCTTCATTTGAAAAGGAATCAAAGAGTCCATCCAGCACTTCAATAGATGACAGGATTTCGCTGTTGACAGGAATGCTATTGTCTTTAAGAAGCTCTCTTTTTCCTTCCTTTCGTTCTCCCTCTTCGTGCGCCCGCTTTCTGCACGCTCCCTTTCTTGTGTCCCTTCTGCGGCCCTTTCTTCCTCTGTTCCTTTTGTCATTGGGGGGATAGAAGAAGGGCAAGGTTAAGCAAGGAGAATGAAGGGAATGATATGATGGAAGGAGGACTTCTCCTGCTCCTTGTAACTACCTGGTCACGTTCCACACTTCTCTACATGTCTCTGTGATCTTTTCTCTGGTTTTTCTTCTTAGCAAGGTGGGGAAAGTGTCCTCCTCTCACACCCCTCTTTCACTCTCGGAGGCCCCTGGAAGATGCTCTCTGAAGGCCGCCGAGAACATCTTGGGGCAGGCTTAGAGGGGTTTGGAGTGTGTGGAAAGAGGCAGCGCAGGACCATGTCCAGAACAGGACCCATCCTTTGTACAGGCTCTGCCTCGTAAAGTCAGAAAGGATGAGCAATGCATAGGCAACACCGGGGGCTCCGGAGTGAAAGAGATGGAGACAGATAGCGAAGCAAAGAGAAGGAGACGGTAATCATGAAGAAGAGGAAGAAGGAAGACAGTGGAAGAGCGACATATAGGGAAACAGGGTGAAGGACACAGAAACAATGAAGAAGAGGAAGGAGGAAGCGACGGTGAAAAGAGGGCCGCTTGGAGAACAAAAAGGGGTCAGAGAAGAACAAGAAGAAACGAGAACAAGTAGGGCAGGACACTTGTTTTTGTTATCCACTGTTCCTTTTCCTCACCCTTATGCTTTTTTCCCGAGCATCGCTCACTCCTTTCTTCCACGGTCTTTGTCCTTCATGTCTCCTCTCTATCTCTCTATCCTCTCTCTAGCTCTCCCTCCTTTCTTGTTCCGTGTTCGTTCTCCTCCTTTCTCCGCTCTCCCTTTTCTCGTGTCCATTCCATGACACTTTCCTCCTCTGTTCCTTTTGTCATTAAGTAGGGGGATAGAACAAGGGCAAGGTTAAGCAAGGAGAATGAAGGGAATGATGAGATGGAAGGAGGACTTCTCCTGCTCCTTCTAACTACCTTCCAGGCCACTCTACATATCTCAGTGTTCTTTTCTCTTGTTTTTCTTCTTAGCAATGTGGGGAAAGGGTCCTCTTCTCACACCTCTCCTTCACTCTTGGACGCCCCTCAAGGCCGCCTGAAACTCATGGGGGAGTGTGGAAAGAGGCAGTGCAGGGCCATGTCCAGAACAGGACCCATCGTTTGTACAGGGTCTGCCTCGTAAAGTCAGAAAGGATGAGCAATGAACAGAAAACACCGGGGGGCACCGGAGTGAGAGAGATGGAGAGAAGCAAAGAGAAGGAGACAGTAATCAGGGAGAAGAGGAAGAAAGAAGACAGCGGAGGAGCGACAGATAGGGAAACAGGGTGAAGGAAACAGAAACAATGAGGAAGGGGAAGGAGGAAGCGATGGTGAAAAGAGGACCGCTTGGAGAACAAAAAAGGAGACAGAGAAGATCAAGAAGAAAAGAGAAGAGGTAGGGCAGGACACTTGTTTTTGTTGTCCACTGTTCCTTTTCCTTAGCCCTTACACTTATTACCCGAGCATCGCTCACTCCTTTCTTCCACGGTCTTTGTCCTTCATGTCTCCTCTCTATCTATCTATCCTCTCTCTAGCTCTCCTTCCTTTCTTTTCCCATGTTCGTTCTCCTCCTTTCTCCGCTCTCCTTTTGACCCTTTCCTCCTCTGTTCCTTTTGTCATTAAGTAGGCGGATAGAACAAGGGGCATGCATGGTTAAGCAAGGAGAATGAAGGGAATGATGAGATGGAAGGAGGACTTCTCCTGCTCCTTCTACCTACCTTTGTCTTTGTGTTCTTTTCTCTTGTTCCCCACCCTCGGTGTGGAGCTGTTAGATCTTAAACGCAACTCTTCTCCTCGCCCAGAACTCTTCTCCTCACCTGGGAGTGCCCAACCCGCAAAGTGTTTCTGGAGTGCCCAACCCAGACCTGGAGCGCCCAACCCCAGTGTCCCCGGAGAGTCTCCCTGGAGTGCCCAACCCCACTGTGTTTGGAGTGCCCAGCCCCAGAGTGTCCCTGGAGTGCCCAACCCCAGAGTATCTCTACGCAGAGAGGGTTTGGATGTTAAAAGCAAAATAATTTTCTTCTTAGCAATGTGGGCAGCGCAGGACCATGTCCGGAGCAGGACCCATCGTTTGTACAGGGTCTGCCTCGTAAAGTCAGAAAGGATGAGCAATGCATAGGCAACACCGGGGAGCTCCGGAGTGAAAGAGATGGAGACAGATAGCGAAGCAAAGAGAAGGAGACGGTAATCATGAAGAAGAGGAAGAAGGAAGACAGTGGAAGAGCGACATATAGGGAAACAGGGTGAAGGACACAGAAACAATGAAGAAGAGGAAGGAGGAAGCGACGGTGAAAAGAGGGCCGCTTGGAGAACAAAAGGGGGCCAGGGAAGATCAAGAAGAAAAGGGAATAGGTAGGGCAGGGCACTTGTTTCTGCGAGCATCGCTCACTCCTTTCTTCCACGGTCTTTGTCCTTCATTTCTCCTCTCTATCTCTCTATCCTCTCTCTAGCTCTCCTTCCTTTCTTGTTCCATGTTCGTTCTCCTCCTTTCTCCGCTCTCCCTTTTCTCGGGGGATAGAACAAGGGCAAGGTTAAGCGAGGAGAATGAAGGGAATGATAAGATCGAAGGAGGACTGCTCCTGCACCTTGTAACTACCTTCCACAGCTCTCTGCATGTCTCTGTGTTCTTTTCTCTTGGTTTCTTCTTAGCAATGTGGGGAAAGGGTCCTCCTCTGACACCTCTCCTTTGGGGACGCTCTCTGAAGGCCGCCTGAAACTCTTGGGGGAAGCTCAGAGGGTTTGGAGTGTGTTGAAAGAGGCAGTGCAGGGCCATGTCCAGAACAGGGCCCATCGTTTGTACAGGTTCTGCCTCGTAAAGTCAGAAAGGATGAGCAATAAACAGAAACACAGGGCGGCGCCGGAGTGAGAGAGATGGAGACAGATAGAGATGCAAAGAGAAGGAGACAGTAATCAGGGAGAAGAGGAAGAAGGAAGGCAGCGGAAGAGCGACAGCTAGGGAAACAGGGTGAGTGACACAGAAACAATGAAGAAGAGGAAGGAGGAAGCGATGGTGGAAACAGGATTGCTTGGAGAACAACAAGGAGACGGAGAAAGAAGAAACGAGAAGAGGTGGGGCAGGACACTTGTTTTTTCATCCACTGTTCGTTTTCCTCACCCTTACGCTTACTTCCCGAGCATCGCTCACTCCTTTCTTCCACGGTCTTTGTTCTTCATTTCCCCTCTCTATCTCTCCATCCTCTCTCTAGCTCTCCTTCCTTTCGTTTCCCACGTTCGTTCTCCTCCTTTCTCCGCTCTCTCTTTTCTCGTGTCCATACCACTAGCCTTTCCTCCTCTCTTCTTTTTGTCATTAGGGGAGTAGAACAAGGGCAAGGTTAAGCAAGGAGAATGAAGGGAATGATGAGATGGAAGGAGGACTTCCCCTGCCCCTTCTAACTACCTTCGACAGCTCTCTACATGTCTCTGTGTTCTTTTCTCTTGTTTGTATTCTTAGCAATGTCGGGAAAGGGTCCCTTGGGCCTAAACCCTAACGCCTAAACCCTCGTGAGTATTTCGGCATCGGGAATGGCTTGACGAAACGTCGTGACGCGACAGAAAACGAAAGTCTTCAACTATGATAACAGGCATAGAAACGTATATGCAAATTGATTATTAACCAAGAGCAAAAGCCAAATAATACATAAAGGTCCATGCCACATATATATATATATGTGTGTATACACACCTGATATATATATATATATATAATATACATATATATATATATATATACATACGGGTTATATAGACCCAGGCTCTCCACATAGCTACGCACTATGGTGGCACATAGTCCGGTTTTGGCACCGGAGAAGGGCTCATGATGAAGAGCGGCTTGAGCGCAAGCGTGTCCTAAAAGTCAATTAGGGTTTAGGGTTCAGGGTTTAGGGTTTAGGGTTTAGGGTTTAGGGTTTAGGGTTCAGGTGTTTTCGGGTTTGGGCCTAAGGTCGAGAAAGTTTCTTGTTTTGCATGTTGGTTGTCTCGTTTTTTTTCAGATTTCCCCGCAGACCCTCTTGTAGAATCCCACCCTAAACCCTAAACCCCTGAACCCTAAACCCTGAGCCCACCACAAATTGCAACCCTCAACCTTTAGGATCATCGCCAAGCTGGCGGGGCGTGTGGTGCACTCCTGGAGCCTTACCAGCCCAGCTTGGGCCTGAGGAAGAGCTTAGGGTTTAGGGTTTAGGGCTTGCAAAGGAAGACCCCTGGAACTTGCCGGGAAGTGGAGTCAGATTTGTTGCACGTCATGGGGCCTACATAGGCTTGCTAGAAGTTGTAGAGGCTGCAACCTTGTGTCAGATGACCTCACATGGATGCTGCTGCTGGCCCACAGTCCCAGACGAACACCAGCTCCATGTGCAAAGTTGAGTCATCTTTGGCATTCCCTGCTCATGCTTTCCTCAATGTCGCAGCCTGGACCCTTTGAATGTAACGGCTTGCAGTAGGTCTGGCTGGCTGGCTGGCTACATTCGATGCATATCACAAGAGATGTGACACGCAGACAGCATGCGGTTCCTATGGGGACACACACGATGAATCCAAGATTGGGCCGTTGATTGATCGGGGGAAATCACGTTCCGACCCTGCACGTTGGGTAGCCTTTCTGCAACAACACCACCCCGACTCCCTAAACCCTAAATCCTAAACCCTAAACCCAAACAAAAACCCACCATAAACCACCCCGTCTCCCGACTCCGATGCTTCGCCGTGTGCACAAGGACGGCTCTGCGGCAAAGGCAGCCAAGGACGAGTTGGAGAAGCTCGTTTCGCAAGCCGACCCGAATCTCGGAGCAGCATCTCATTGCAGATAGAAGGGTCGGAATAATTACTGATAATCGTTCCTTCGTGGTCCCTATATACTTATACTGAAAAAACCCCCAAAACCCTACTATTCTCATGATCAAGGCCCCCTGTATTAGGGATTGCGGCGACACCCCTTGCCTGGTGATTACCATACATCTTCTCACCCTACCCTGTTGCGATATCCCCCGTGGGATTTTTTTTATTTTTGTTTATATAAAACCCAAGAGGACATCAAAAATATGTTGTAGGTTGTGTGTTTGCGCATACGGGTCGAGTGCAGGATTGAACACTCCACTCGTGCGTTGCCAATCTACTTTGGGGCCATGAGGTCGCACAGCCAGCTACTTGTAAACAAGATGTTTAGGGTTTATAGGGTTTGGGGTTTGGGGTCTAGGGTTTAGGATTTAGGGTTTAATATTCGGCTTCTAAGGTTTAGCCGTTTAGTGTGTTCACGTGTGATGGGGATGTGCAAGGTGACCAGAAGCAATTAAAGTGGTGCTCGGTGCTATGGTTGCCTGAGGTCCACCGCTGTTTGGCGGCCGCTGCTGCAGAAGCTCATGACAGTGCCTTGCAAAGCAACGGGTCATGGTGCTATTAATTAATAATTTCATGTACAGATCACCCACTCATAAGCCCCTTGAGTGCCCTAACATGGTTCAACGACACTCTGAAGCCTGAACCAAATTGCGGAAGATCTCCAGGCAAGTCTTGTAGTGTGAGCTTGCTGGATGGCAAAATCTATGAACAACGTATGCATGCACGTGCACGGTGAACTTTATGACCTTCAAGCTTTCACTGAATATGCTAAATCAACTAGATACAGTACTCACTACCAGCACGCGAACTTGCAGTATTGTACTGTCGTTGCTGCATACCTCAAGTGCAAGAGCTTCTTTGTCGACATCTTCGATTTCCCTTTCGCTTCACGCCCACACGAACATGGCATCCGTGTGTGCATGGCTGTATCTATGTGGGGGAGGTCTCGCTCTGGCGAGAAATCAGCACAATGTTCTACATGCACATTGCCGAAAGCTGAAGTCGAGCCGAGTACATCAAACAAACTGCCAACACTTCCGCACTAGCCGTTTGCAGTAGACAAATGACGGCACCGACTGTCTGAGTCGTTCTGTTTCAGGATCTTTCGGGATCCTGTTTGGTTCTTGAAACCCTAGATCATGAACCGTGAACCACCAAAGACCTCCAAATCCGACGCCCTTCGCGCGCCTAAGAAATTCCGAGTCCCTTCCATGAGCCCCCGAAAGTCGGAATGGCCGTTGAATTCTTTTGGAATGGTATATACAGTTCCTTGATCTGTTCGTTCCCTATACCTTTACCCAGAAACCTAAACTCTGAACCCTACACGAAAACCCGTAAACCCTAAATCCTAAGCCCGAAATTTGAGCATTCAGCTCAGCCGGAAGCGTCACAAGTAAGCCACTCCTGCACCGGCTAAAAGTTCCAAGGCCCTTTCCCGACCATGAAGCGCCAAACCGGTATTCGGGGCTTGTAGGCGTTTCGGGGTCTGGCGGGGCTAGGTGTTTAGGAGTCAAAGGCCTTAGGAGGCTGAGGCCCAGCTGCATGAAGTGTGAGTTTTTCCTTCATCATCACTTGATGTTGGGTTTAGGGTTTAGGGCTTCGGGCCTATGACAAAGACACGCCCCACCCAGCCTCCCCGCGAGCTGCTGAGGCAGCAGATGACTCCCCATCGCCATCAGCAGGCCTCCAGGATTGCCTCGACCGATCTTGCCACTTGGAAGGCTCTTCCAGTGGGTTTTGCTTGGTTTAGGGTTTGGGGTTTAGGGTCTTTTTCAGGGAGTCATAGGGGATGAGCCCCCTTCATCATCGTAAACTCCATGGAGCCAAAATGATACTCCCTTTTGATTCCGACATTCTGGGATGAGACTGGAGGAGGGGGTGTCCGGTCGGGTCGTTCTGTTTCTCCCAAGGTTTAGGGCTTTAAGGGTTTTGCTGTCTTAAGGTTTCGAGGGTTTAAGGGTTCAGGCTTGTTGCCTGCGTGGACGCTGGTTCTGGCAGAGAATGGGATGTGTCGCTGCAGTTCAGCCGTTGAGTTCGCATGTTCAACGGAAGCGTCTGAAGATATGCGTGTCGTCTAAACCCTAAACCCTTAACCCTTAAACCCTATACCCTAAACGGCTACGGAATGCAGGATGCCCATGAAAAGCTTGACCTCCGAGGCGCCAAACTTCGGGCTGCTGACTACGCACTGGGCTCAGCTCTGATGTTCAGACATGCCCAGGTCGATCATCCTATCTGTATCACCTGTCCTCAAACTATATAGTTCCTACACCCTGACGTGCTGAAGGTTTCCAGGAATTGATCAGGGAAGCTTGGTGCCTGAAACTCCTCCAAATCAGAAGCTCAAGCCATGTTTGTAAAGGGCGTACACGTTCCTCGGAACGTTTGCGTCGTCGTTGAATCTAATAAGACGCTCGGCTGAGACACTATCGCGCACAGGGCCTGCTCCCCCCTTTCCTTCCCCGCCCTTCTCCCCACTCCCAACCTCCCCCCTCTGTGCCCTCCCTCCTCCCCCTCCTCCTCCCATGGTTGCTGTGCCACAGCAAGCCTATAGGAGTTTGTGGGGACAAGGCCTCTGAAGTCAAGCAAACCCTATGACCCTGGACACAAGTCCAGGAAGCTTTCCGGCAAAGCTTGCGGAGCTCGGCCCTGGCGAACGACCCACTGCAGGGGTGGCGCCAGCATCTCGAAAGAACTATAAGCTTCCAATAGGCAATCCCCAAGTCTTGAGAAGAAATCTCCCTCAGGTTTCCTGTTGCGGTTCAGCACGGCCTGACTCCAGCTTATAGACTTTCTTGAAATGCATAGTGGCTCCCCCGACAGCCTGTACAAGCCCTATGCGATGTTTTCTAAGTCGTGGGCCCTGTTGCGTGGGTACATGCATTGATGTAACAGGTGCTCTTCCATCCTGAAGAAGGAACATCATGGCGAGCTGAGCATCAGACATCAGTGCGCACCTTCAAAGGCCCCCACCTTGCTCTCGAGAGCAGCGAAGGCGTCTTGTGGCGGAGGGCTACGGCGCGGCGAGAGACACTGCTCTGCCGATTGAGGCCGCGGAGAAGGCCATGTTCGTTCGATGTTGGCGTGTGCGTGCGCCATCCACTCTTCAGGATGTTGAATGTTGCAGAATCTGGGCTGTCAGGACGTAGACTACAAGCAAGAGGCGACCAAAGAGGTATTATCGAGTGAACGCAGGCTGCTCAAAATTCAGAAGAGAGAGAGAGAGAGAGAGAGAGAGAGAGAGAGAAGAGAGACAGATAGCGAGATTGCATGGCCGCTTCCCACTGCCCTCAAGCGCACCGAAATTCATCTACCAGTCATGCATGGACAGTACATGACAGGAGGCTGCTGAGAACCAAGAGGCTCTAACACAAGTGGCTGCTTGGCAACCATCCACCCATCCACGCCACTCCAGGAGGTTTGGAGCTTGAGCGAAGGATTGTCAAGGGCAGACATTGAAAGCCTCGCCTCCCGGCGATTTTTGGGGTTCGAGTAGATTCTGCTAGTGGCCAGTGGTGAGTTGTGTTGAGAGAAAGGCGCTTCTTTGTCTGAGTTGAGCTCCAGGGGCTTCCCAGAAAGGCTGCTGGGCGGGAGGCAAAGAACTGGTCCGCCTGAAATTCTCAACCCCAAACCTTTACTCCATCCCGAGGCAAAAGAGGTCTTTTGTGCCTTCAAACCCCTTAACCCTCAACCCGAACCCTAAACCCTAAGCCGCCCAAGGAAAGCATGGTGCCAGAAGGATCTGGAGTGGTGTTTCTCTGCCAATCAGGTGTGGGACTCCCTGTTCAGGGTCCATCTTGCCCGGAACTCAACACCCCAATGCCTGAATAGGTTTAGTATTGAATATTGAGTGGGCCGGGGGGGGGAGGGGGGGCAGTGAAGCATCAAGAACGTCACGTCGGCCTTGAAGCCTACCCCGTGCTTCTGCAGGAGGCTTGTGTAAATAACACGCGAAGTGAGGCCCCCAGAAGTAAAAAAAACCATCCAATTACGTCCCACGCGGTTTAGGGTCATTTTTTAGGGTTTTAGGGTTTAGGGTTTAGGGTTTAGGGTTTAGGGCATGTCTGCTCACATCGAACCCATGGCGGAGGCAGCTTCATGTACGACTTGCAGGTTGCGAGCAGCGTTCCTTGACAGCAAGCCCCAGGTGCCCGCTTTAAAGATCTGGCCCTCCAGAGTTCAGGATTACTCTGAAGTTTCGTCATTCATCCTTTCGCCCCCTCGCAGCTCAGTTCTAGTCTCAGAATATAACAATTGGCGAGCACATTTAGACGGCACAGACTTTTCGACCATCTTCTGTGCCCACAAAAAAAGCACGAAGCTGAGGACATGGACTTCACCCTCGTGTACCAAGCGCCGCCGGAGGATTTGTTGCCTTGATGACAGAGTGGTTTAGGGTTTAGGGTTTAGGGTTTAGGAAATTCGAGGCAACCCCAAACCACAACTATATTCAACACCCACTACATGGAAGATTGTGATGTCGGAATGTGGGGCCAGCTTTCCTTTGAAGCTTCTGGAACTTCCCCATGTACACCTTGATTCTCCTCCAGCATTCCCTCATAAGCCCTAAGCGGAGTGTTCTACTGCTGCCATGCGTGGGCGCATCGTGCTTGTCCGCTACATGATCCCGTTCATCGGGGAGGGAGCCTGATGCTCTGCTGTTTGTTGAAAGTATCCCGTCCTCAATGTTGCGGATGGGTTTCGACCCAGTACATGAATAAACTACGACAACTGCTGCGGCTGGCCTGGTACTTCTTAACTTGTACTCAATAATGTGACGACTACTACGAGTACTATTGCCACCTCTGTTGTTACTATTCTATACTGCGTAGCCTACTTCCACTGCTATTGGTACTTTCTACTACGACGACGACTGCAACTACCTCGATTGGTTTGACAACTTTGCAACTCAAGGGAGAATTTGCCTCCGGACCTCTCAAAGAGACCGGTGTCCATGGTAGCCGCCTGCAGCCGCCTTGCGGTGGCTTGTCGCCTAAGAATAGCGAGTCAGTCTTGACAGCATAAGCGCATCCATTCCATGAGATGGACTCCCCGACCTCCCTTTGTCTCCCGAAGAAAAAGATCTGGTGGAGATTCCTTGTGTGGTGAAACCTGAACTACGGACTCAGGCTCGGGCTCACGCCGCCCAAGGAGGAGTTTTCGCGCCACGTGCAGCAGGCTGCGGGGTTTCAGGCGTATGCGCAGTCGGCATTTCCATGTTTTTGTTGCTTTGCGGCGCCGCCCTACCCGAACAGACGAAAGGATATGCAGCGACAGACCTCGTGCTTTCTAACGTGCTTTTACCTCATCCCCCTTCAGCGGCTGGACTGCTTCCTTGACCTGTGAATTTCAATGCCCTGCAAAGGGTACACAATATACAGGTTTTAGGACTTGAGCTCAAGAGTTTGCGTGTTTCGAGTTGTCATGGTAAATGATCATACTCACAAAAAGTTGGCCTCAGCTTTCCAGGATGGTTGAGGGTTTCGGACTGGACCATGCTGTTGGCGATGGAGAATCTCCTGCCTGAAAGCTCCCGTCCTGACGCTGCTGCTCGAATCCCTTGTTGCTGAGACACATGCAATGCCCAAACATAAATCCCTAAAACGACCCTCAGCTCCTAAACGTGTCCATACGAGAACCCCGCACTCACTGACTGGACAAGCTAGATCTCTCCAACAGAGGCCTCCGAAACGTAAAGTAGCAAATAATGCACCCCGGCCCCTCCAAAAACAAATAGGGTTTAGGGTTTAGGGTTTAGGGTCTAGGGTCTAGGGTTTAGGGCTTAGGGCATAGGGTTGTAGGAGAGCAGCCTTCGAGACACATCTCCACATGCCATGCACCGCAGCATCAGCCATGAAGACTTCGCCAAGCGAGGCACTCTCCGAACCCTAAACCCTAAACCCTAAACCGCAAACCCTAAACCCTAAACCCTAAACCCTAAACCCTAAACCCTAACTAAACCCTAAACCCTAAACCCTAAACCCTAAACCCTAAACCCTGACCCTAGACCCTAGACCCTAGACCCTAGACCCTAGACCCTAGACCCTAAACCCTAAACCCTAAACCCTAAACCCTAAACCCTAAACCCAGACCCTAAACCCTAAACCGGTCAGGTCTCTGGAGGGTTTCGGGTGTAGGATTGATCCGGGCAAAATCCTCAGAAGCCTAATGCAAATGGTTGATAGGAGCCATAAAAGGTTTTTGGGATTCTTTGTGCATCATGAATAACGGGCATCTACTAACAAGGGCCTCCAAAACTGCAATTTTTTCAGAGCGCCCAGCAAGAAAACCATGCGGTAATCCGCCACCCGGCTGGCATGGGCGCGCCCGCAGCAACGATCCGAACTATCCCTCAACGACCGACACCCTGCATTCTCCAAAGCCTTATGTTGCACCTTTCTACTGCCGGCCCTTTCTAACAAAATAAGGCGTGCCGGCTGAAGCAGGGGTGCCCCTAGTGTTGGGGGCTGTCATGTCGAAGGCCTGCAGAACCCAAACCTGTGGCGATTACAGTTCCTCCTGCCACCCCCCGCTCCAAACTTTCTGAAGCCCCTGGTCAGTTCTCTGGGCTCAATTCGTTGTGTGCAGTGGCACAATAAGGTACGGGATTAACAGCTAGGAAGACCAAGCCAAAACACTTCGAATGCTGTACCTGAAAGGTTTGCGAACAACGCAAGACCCGCTCGGCGCGTTGTGACCAGGCCGTATGGGTTGCTTTGCCTAAGGTTCCTAAGTTTTGTATGTCGTTCCTAACATAACAACTGTCACGGTACTGAGTTCTAGGATTCTAGGAATATCGCCGGCTGGGCTGCTCTGACTTAGGAGTTTTGTTGAAGCTGTTGCAGCTAACAGCCTTGTGTTGGTAGCCGAGGCAGTTTGATCCGGATGACAATCCCGTGCGGAAGGATGTTGCCACGCAGCCGAATTAATTGAGACTCTTCAGGGTCTTCGAAGTTCTGGTCTCAGTGGCACCCTCGTCCTTCCTCCCTAATTATGAGCCCCTTGAAAAACAGAAATGAAGTAGAAAAAAAAGAAGATGCTCCAGTAGTCATCTGGGAAGACTGGAGGTGTGGCTTGGGGCGAAATGGGGGATTTCAGGACTTTGGAACATTGTAGAATTGACACTGGAATTTTGGTTTGCGGGCTTCGCCAGCTTTTGGGGTTTAACAAAGGATCGGTGGAGGCTTCACGCTGTAGTTTTCTTCGCCTCAGCTGTCGGATCCTACCTGAAAGGGTGGCCCGAAGCCCGGCGGGTAGTCCCACTGGATTTGATGCCATTTGCAAACCATGCAACCCTGAATCCCTAAACCCAAAAACCCTAAACCCCTAAACGGGTGGATGACCACTCATCCTGGGGTTTTCTCTTCAATCCCTTGGGTCCGTTTCTTTACGCATCCGGGGGAGCCCTGGCCTTGGTCTTTTTTCAGGGGGCCTTTCAACGAAACATCCGCCTGTGCCTCTGCCATCGCGTCAAAGTCCAGGTGGACAGGGGTTTAGGGTTTAGGGTTTAGGGTTTAGGGTTTAGGGTTCAGGTCATCCCGCCAAGCAATGGGAACTTTCAGGCTCGAACCATGTTGGCAGTCAGGCGTGAAGCCTGTCTGGTCTGAAGTCCATTCGTGGCTGGGATGTGTACAGGGTTTAGGGTTTAGGGCTGAGGGTTGAGGGTTGAGGGTTTAGGGTTTAGGCTTTATTGGCCATAAGTTCCGGCAGGTTTGGGACATGACATGTCACTCGCTCTTAGGCCAATGGTCTTGGTTCGGACGAAACTCTGCCACCGCGTGACCACAACGGGTACTCAAGCTTCTAGAGTCTACACTTACAGGGCAAAGATCATCAGACTTCCGAGGCTGTTAAGAAGGCAGTGGACCGTCTGAATAGCCAGAAGGTTGCTCGGCTGCTCAGACACTTGGAGGCTCATGGGTAATTATAAGTATTATAGGTAAGGTTATAATGGTTATGAGTAGTAGTTCCTACACAGGAAGGGAGGTTTCTCAGAAGGACCCGGCTGGCTGCAAGAGACCTGGTTGCAAAAAGTTCCCATAGTTCTAACCCTACTTAGAGCTACCCATGAGCCTCCAAGCCAGGTGTAGGGAGTTGTTGGACGAGGTTACCAGGTTTGGGCAGGAGCTTTGGGCCGGAAACCCTACAGACCCTTGGGGGAGAAGCTTGGCACGACCCGGGAACGCTGAACGTGTGAGTTGCAGTTTAGAGTTTCGCCTTTGGGTTTCGAGTTTAAGGAAGGTCAGCAAGTCCGGCTTTCAAAAGGGTTTCAGGTTTGAGCTTCCTATGTTGCGGTGCCCAGGCCAAAAGTCGGAAGCTTGCAGCCAAGGTCACATCTTACGCAGAGGTTGCTACCATCGTTGGCGTCCCACAGAATGTTTACCTCGAGTACATCCGCAATGAGACTTGTCAGTTGAGGTGTGAGTGTGGGCTGCATTGAGAGAGAGAGAGAGGCAACACGAATGTTACTGTGGAGGGCGTGTTCAAGCCTGCAAGCGCGCCAAGCGCTGTCGCAACAACGCTAAAGACAGACCCCCTCCACAAAAAAAAAAAACAGAATAAACAGGGCAGACGTCTAGATATACTTCTTTTTGAAGCGAGGCAGGAGATGCTGTAAAAGGGGTGTACGGTGTCAGTAGCAGAAATCGCTACCTTTACCTACAGCTCAGTCCCGAATCGCCAAACAAGTTGTCGAGAGCTCCTGAACCTTGGATTTTGGGCACGCGGTTCTCCACAAAAGAAACAGTAGACACTGTAGACACGATCGGGAGTCATAATTCCTTATTGTGCTCCTCAGAGACTGTTGATGTGGTGGGAGAAGCCAGTCAGAACACAAGGGCCCAGAACACCACGGACGAAAAGGAACCGCAAGAGATGAGCAAGCTCCTGTCAAAAAGCCTCAGAGTCCAAGAAATGCTGATCGCCTCAGGAGATTGACACGGAGCATAACTTCTTGCAGCTCCCCTGGACCATCCTCCTCTTGCTGTCCTTCACTGTGCTTAGCATGGGCTTGCTCCAGCAGGAAGTGGAGTTTGCCATGCAGGAGGCGAGGGTGTTGGGCTCGCGGTCAGAACGTTGGAGGGGGGGGCTTCTATGTGCAATTCTATGGCATCAGTTTGAGACTGCAGATGTCGCAGGTGCAGGAAGGTCTAGGCTTGGGAGTTCCGAGCTGCAGCACGTGCAACAGAATTGTGCCTTTTTTTGGCCAGATTCTCAAATTTCCTGAGTCAAAAGGGCTTTGCAAGTGGAGGGTTGCATGGCTGTGGGGGCGAAGTTCAGCTGTCCCTGGCAGAGCCGGGCGAAAGGCAGGAGCCCGGAAGGAAACAAAGCATCTATGTAGGGTCCGAGCTGGTGACCCAAGGGCTACAGGTAAGTAGGGTCTAGGCTGGGTCCAGGGTCTAGGTAGGGACGAGGGTTGAGGATAGACAAGTATGACCTACGCCTACTTGTGTCTCAAGTCTATAGTGCGAACTTCTGTGAGATCTTTGTTTGAGCCCTTGATCCCGAATCTCGTGTTTTCCATGTTTGTGCGCCTCCCTCACCCAAACTCTAATCCCCCTCCCCTGCCCAAACCCCACAAATTCAACAATCCTAACCTCCCCCTAACCCCTGAACCCGACAATGCCCGAACCCGGAAACCCGTTCTAACAACCTTTCAGAATAAACCCTAAACCCGAAACCCGAATAACCCTCAACCCAAAGAACCCTAAACCCTAATAACCCTAAACCCGAATAACCCTAATAATCCATAAATCCGAATAGCCCTAAACCCTAATCTCCCGAAATCCCTAATAACCCCAATAACCCTAAACCCCAATATCTCTAAACCCTAAACCCTGGTGGCAATACAGCGCTAATAACCCTAAACACCCAATAACCTTAAACCCCATAAACCCTAATATCCCTAAAACCTAAACCCCAAACCCCAAACCCCAAACCCTAAACCCTAAACCCTAAACCCTAAACCCTAAACCCTAAACCCATATGCATATGGCAACCCCCAGGCCTACGAGCGCGACATCCACGAGAACGCGAACTTCGCCTGGAGCGGGGAATTCGGACATCGGAGTCCCGGGCGCAAGGGTTTAGGGTTTAGGGTTTAGGGTTTAGGGTTTAGGGTTTAGGGTTTAGGGTTTAGGGTTTAGGGTTTAGGGTTTAGGGTTTAGGGTATATCGTTTGGGGGGGTTGTGGGGTTCCCCACATAGGGTTTAGGGTTTAGGATTTAGGGTCAATGGGTCAAGCAACTTTCCACAAATCGGGATAGTTTGGGGGGGGTCCTCGAGTAAAGATTATTGTTATTGTGGGCTCCCTCGTTTTGGGAAAGCCCCTGTGATCCCATTGGTGGGTTCTTCTTCTGAGGGTGAAACTGCTTTTGTGGGTGAGGTTGAACCTGAGGGGGAACCCCGATTTTGAGTGAGCTATCGATTCAATAGGCTGTTGTGTGGGGTCTTGGGGTCTAGGAGCTGTCTTTTGTACCCCCCCCAAATCTAACCGTAAAGCCCCCCAGCAGCACCGGCAGCTTTCAAACCCTAAACCCTAAACCCTAAAGCCTAAACCCTTCAGGGGCTTGACCAACGTCACCTCGATTGCGCAGTTCTGGTCATGGATGCGGCTTGGTCTTCTGCCCACCTTGGCTCCTTGTCACGGCTGCTGGTTTAGGGTTTAGGGTTTAGGGTTTAGGGGTTTAGGGTTTAGGGTTTGGGGTTTAGGGTTTAGGGTTTAGGGGTTAGGGGTTAGGGGTTTAGGGTTTGGGGTTTAGGGATTCAGGATGAAGGCTTCTGGGTTCGGTTTTTGAATTTAGGACTCGTGGACGGGGCACATTGGTACATTCTCCCTTCTGCTGCCCGGAATTGGGCCGCAGCTTGGTGGCTTGGTGGGCACAGGGAATGCGCCGCAGGTGGTTCTGTTGCACAGTTGCGTTAGAAATCTGCTGTGTCCATGGTCGTGCCATGGGCCTAAGGCTTCAGTCGAGACGGGTACTGTTGCCCTGGCTCTCCGTTTCGTGCATCCCTCCTTTAACCGGCTAGACCCTCACCTTCGCATGAACCGAGCGCAGGAAACCTTCAAGGCTTTGCACTTGACGCGGCGAAAGATTCAACAAATTGCTTGTGCACTTAAGGAACTTCAGCCTAAAAGTTCCCCCTCTTCCCAGCATCCCGAAGCCCTAGACTTGCAGCAGCTCATGCATTTCATGCCATCCTAAACCCTACGCACCCGCGCAATATGATGAGTCCACTGACATGCGCTGTGATGCTGCGAGGTTCGCACGGGGTGGACGTACAGCGAACCGGCCCCCGCGGTCCTCGGGGCAACGACTCCAAGCAGCTACTCGCCAGCTGAGGCTTGAGATGCCATGTTTAGGGTTGGGGTTTAGGGTTTAGGGTTTAGGGCTTAGGGTTTGTGTCCTCTGTCTACACATAACCAAGCAGTACCTCAAGCTGTTGCGGCTGTAAGGGATGGTATGAACTCTCAGATTTGACATCTCCCAGCAAATCTCTCCAAACCCCGGCCTCTTTGTCTCTCCCTCTCTCTCTCTCTCTCTCTCCCTCGCTCTCTCTCTCTCTCTCTATCTCTCTCTCCCCGTCTCTTTCTCTCTCTCTCTCGCTGCCTCTCTCTCTCTCTCTCGCTCTATCTCGCTCTTTCTTTCTCTTCCTGAACCCTATAAACCCTCAGCCCCCTGGCTCCCCGGCATTCACTTGTTGGTTGCTCCGAGGCCCCTGAGCCTGACATGTGTGCTGAAGGGTTTTTTCGTCTCGGGGTTCAAGGGTTTAGGGTTTGTGGGTTTGGGGTTTAGGGTTCTAAGAGCAACCCAGGCAACGTGTCAGCCTTGCCGCGGTCCTGGCTATTTCGGGACTACCGTCACTGGGTCTTGATGGAGACTGAAGGGCCAACCGCAGCAGCCCAGTAATTCGGGGTTTAGGGTTTAGGGTTTATTTTTAGGGTTCAGGGTTTAGGGTTCTTTGCTCAAGCTCAAAAAACGTGTTGGTTAAGTTTTGCCGGACGACGGCTGCCTTGCGGAGTGCTTTGCAATTACCAGTTCGTATGCGGCTTTATGCTGATATGCCGCACGGAAGAATATAAAACAGGGGGATTGTGCCACCAATGCGTGGAGGGCGCCTGACTCACATCGAGGTAGCTGCGGGGTAGCGCCCCAACACTGTCGTTCAATCGTAGCGTCGTCCTCTCGCAGAAGCCGAGGTACGGCAGCGCCAGTGCCCAACGAGTATCTCCACTACTCCAAGCCGAGTGCCGGCATCTAGGAGATCTGGGGAGTGGGGGTGGGGGGGGACTGCATAGGCTCGTTTTGATTCGGCGGACGGCTGAGGTGGCGGAATGGTTTAAGCATGTTTAAGCTTCGACAGTGTTTAAGCCTCCGCCGAGCAAGCAATTGCATGCAACTCGCAACTCTGCCCCAACAATTCCGAGCAACGTTCAAAAAGTATGTTTGGTTTTGGTTTATGTACTCCTTCGCCTCATGGCTCCGAGAAAGATCGAAAACAGCCCCAAGAAATAGCCACCCTCACACGTGGTGGTAGGCTGGTGCTGTGCCACCATCCCAAGCAGGAGCGGGATGTGGTGTGTGCCTGACCTTCGTGTGCTTCCATACCCGAGTTAACCCGGAAACCATCTTCCATAGGGCCAGGGAGCTTCGGGTACTTGAAACAGCTCCGCTTCGCAGACAACACCGAGGCTTGTGGGAGGCATCCGACTGCGTCAGATTGCTGCTGAGCAAGGCGAATGCAAGATCCCCTCGCTGACGGACTCTTGGGGGGCTGGGCTTGCGGTGACAGGCTTTATACCTGGGAAAAGGAGTTTGCCTTCACCTAACTGCATCATCCAACAAGTAATTCATCATTGCCCCCCTCCAACAAACAATATCATGAGGAGCCAGGTCGGGTAGTTGTTGAAATTCAGATCCGACTCCGAACAGTAGACCAGGACCAGGTGGCGAAACTGTCAACATAACCCAAGTCATTGTAGGTTGTGCTTGGACCAAAGTCATAAAGTCAACAGACTTGCGCAGGCCGCAGCTCCCCCAAACCAAATGATCTAGCCCTTTGAAACGCAAAGCCCTAAGTCAGGTTGAATACACTATGCCGATAGCCGACACACGTATTCTTTTGCTGTACCGCTACTCCTACAGAGCTTCTACGTGCTTGCCGGATGGCCACGACACTGCTGTCGATTGCTTCTGCTTCTGAGACAGTCACCAGCAGAGGATCCAACTTTGTTTGCAGCTTGGCTGGGCAAGCCTTGCAACTGGGCGGCAAAGGCCCAAAATTCGGCCGTGCTATCTCTTGGGAAACTGGAAAGAAAGTGCCTCCTATAGCCTATAGCGGCAGACGTGTTCAACTGCGTCGCTCTGCATGACTCAAGACGGGCGTGTTCATTGTGCATACTTTGATGAGCAGATCTAGCTCTAGAATAGATGTGGGAATGCTCTACATGGACGCGTGAGCTTGAGTGCGTCAGGCTAGATAGCGGTTTTCAAGGCATGCAAGACAGGGGTTAGATCTATGGTAAGCCTTCAGCTCGCAATTCATTAGGCTCCTCGAGCCTGCACAGAGACTTTCAGCCAATGTTCGGCTCGTCGCCTCTACCGAGTCGTAAACATCACCGCGCCGTCTCTTCAAGAGCAGATCGCTGGGTCAAGCTCAGATTGTCAGAAGTCGATTGGGTCTGCTGTTGAACGCTTCAAACTACAATACCCCTATTCTAAGTAGCCATATTGCAAGGCGTTCAGAATCTTATGCCCAGAGGCACACCAAGTTCACTTGGAGATCTCAGTCCGGAGCGGCCCTCCGCACAATTGTTCTCGGGCTTCTCGCGGACCCAGTGCCTCGGCTGAGGATATATCGGGGTTGGGGTAGGTACGTGATCCTCTCGCCCATCAAGTATGTCACCCGTGGGCCTCAAATCCCGAAGCCCCGACCCTCCAAAAAACCCTCCTGAACTGCCAAAACATCCGAAGCCTCAAGGAGATGCAGAACAGGAAAAATCGGCAACCCCCCCCCCCCTCAAACAAACGAAACCACCCCCTTTAAGCACTCCAGCTCCGTTTGATTCCTGCCGTCTTCCCACTCCCCGTCCCTGCCAAGTCTTGCGGGTAGTGCCAATGCGTTGAGGTACCTGCTTCCGGGCGTGGACACGCTGCAGGACATGCAGAGGCGGCTGGGGCAAGAAATGCCAACAGCAAAAGTTCCCAAATCCCAGAAGCCTCCAATTCCACAAGCCTCTTCTGTCTAAGGGCCCTATAGTGCTCTTCCAGGCAGTCAAGGGTCGAAGCTAGAACCCAGGCTTGATGTGCTTCAGGCACGTCGAGGATTATACACAACCCACTTAAGAACACTTAAAGGAAAAATGCACCCCCACCCCCCAAAATCCTCGGAACGCAGCTTTTGGGGCACACAGGTTTGGTGGGTTCTAGCTCCCCTCAGGACCGTGCTGGACATGGAAGATGCTTGGACCATCTTGAGAATAGCAACTTGTGCTTGTGGCTGGTGGCACATCACCCTGAACGTTTAGGATAAGTTTCGGGCTTATAGGGTTTAGGGTTTTATGAACTATATTATATTATAGTTCATACCACCCCCAACCCTACAAGCCCTTTATAAAAATAATAATAATCATAGCAGTAATAATAATAATACTAACAATAACAAGAATAATGATAATAATGATAATCAACCTCCAGACGGCATGTGCCACAGCAGGTTGAGGGTGCAAGAAATCCGAGGATGGCTGCAACTATGCGCATTCCAGGGGTGACCTTGCAAGCTGCCTTTGCGGCTGGTGCTATGGCTCAGAGGTTCAGGATTTTTGAGTTTCTTCTCAGGTTGAGGGTTTAGGGTTTAGGGTTTAGGGTTTAGGGCCTAGGGTTTAGGGTGGTTCCTGCATCGCCACAGTAGTTCTGTAAATGTTGAGACCATGCAACAGGGGCCATGTCGAGCTCTCAGAGCTCTACCGCAAATCGGCTTCCCGGAAGCCGACTGGGCAATGCACTTCCTGTCCTAACATCATGACAGACCTGATAAACAGCAGACCCTGAACCCTTGCCGGCTTTGTTGCGAGGGTGATGGTCGAAACCCCGAGGCCCAAGTCCCTTGCCACTGCCAGAGGTGCAAGGCAGAACCTCGTCAACCCTGGCTCGACGAACAGACAGCGCGCGTGGAAGTGAGCTATGTCGTGTACAACGCAGGGCGTCATGGCTCATGGAAGGTTCAGGAGTTTTCTTCCGGGGCGGGGGGGGGGGGGGGGGGGGGGGGGGGGGGGGTACTGGGGTCTATGGCGCAGGGCTCTAAGATTGATTGCAAGCCTTGACATGATTTGCGCGACACCACCGCAATAAGTCTCTCACGTGAAGCGAAGGCAGGGTCTGAATCAGGGAGCCCCTACAGTCCATGACAATGTTATGAGAGTGTAGCCAAAGCACCGTGCTTTCGCTGCTGCACATGCGTAGATCCGTCTTGCCATCTTCTCAGCAGGGCGCGACATACAGTCATCCCAGTTACTCAGAGGCGCAAAGCCGGTGTTCTTTAAAGTTAGAGATGTCTTGCAAATCAGGACGGGCCAGCTGTGTGTCCACCATGCTCGTCAACTGAGAATCATAGCCGTGCCAGAACGACAGCTCACTGCCCCCCCCCCCCCCCCCCCCCCCCGAAAAAAGATTCCCTTGAACATGTCAGGCACGGGCCCTGTCTTGGTGAAACCTCAAGCGTGTCTTGGGGCCTTCGGGTTCACGGAAGAGTATATGGGACCGGATTCCTTCTAAACTTCAGGTTCATGATCAGCAGCTGAATCGCAGAACTCCTGAGGTATGGGCTGTACACCTATGTCTCCATCAACTTCTTGTTCAATCGAGGTGGCCATGTCTACCCCTTCGTGAACATGATCTCATGCTTTCAGGACCCTATGACGACACCTCTGGAAACCCTGATCCCCACTGCAGTCGCGATAGGGATCTGGCTGGTCCTTCAGCTCAAGCTGCTGGTGGATGAGATCCGGGATGCGATACGCACGGCGCGGGCTTCCAAGCATGGGCTCCCCTCCAGGCTGTTCAGTAGCTATTTGTTGTTTTTTTTGTGTCTGTGTGTGTCTGTGTGTCTCTGTTTGTCTCTGTGTGTCTCTGTGTGTCTCTGTGTGTCTCTGTGTGTCTCTGTGTGTCTCTGTGTGTCTCTGTGTGTCTCTGTGTGTCTCTGTGTGTCTCTGTGTGCCTCTGTGTGTCTCTGTGTGTCTCTGTGTGTCTCTGTGTGTCTCTGTGTGTCTCTGTGTGTCTCTGTGTGTCTCTGTGTGTCTCTGTGTGTGTCTGTGTGTGTCTGTGTGTGTGTGTGTCTGTGTGTGTCTGTGTGTGTCTGTGTGTCTGTGTCTCGTGTGTGTCTCTGTGTGTCTCTGTGTGTCTGTGTGGTGTCTCTGGTGTGTCTGTCTGTGTCTGTGTGTGTCTGTGGTGTGTGTGTGTCTGTGTGTGTGTGTGTGTGTGTCTGTGTGTGTCTGTGTGTGTGTGTGTGTGTCTGTGTGTGTCTGTGTGTGTCTGTGTGTGTCTGTGTGTGTCTGTGTGTGTCTGTGTGTGGTGTCTGTGTGTGTCTGTGTGTGTCTGTGTGTGTGTGTGTCTGTGTGTGTGTCTGTGTGTGTGTGTGTCTCTGTGTGTGTCTGTGTCTCTGTGTCTGTGTGGTCTGTGTGTGTGTCTGTGTGTGTCTGTGTGTGTGTCTGTGTGTGTTGTGTGTGGTGTGTGTGTCTGTGTGTGTTGTGTGTGTGTGTGTGTGTGTGTGTGTGTGTGTCTGTGTGTGTGGTGTGTGTGTCTGTGTGTGTGTGTCTGTGTGTGTCTGGTGTGTGTGTCTGTGTGTGTCTGTGTGTGTGTCTGTGTGTGTCTGTGTGTGGTGTGTGTGTGTGTGTGTCTGTGTGTGTCTGTGTGTGTCTGTGTGTGTCTGTGTGTCTGTGTGTCTGTGTCTGTGTCTCTGTGTGTGTGTGTGCGTGCGTGTGCGTGTTGGTTGTTTTGTTTGGCATGTTTGTGTTGTCATTTTAGCCTGCCTCTTCTTCAACTTGTTTTTTCGTGTGCCGGGTGTTCCTGTTATACCAAATGTGTATGCGTTTCTCTTCCCGAGGGTTGCTGAGCAGCCAAGGTTCTGGCAGGGACTTCTGCGGGACTACTTAAGGTTCTGGAATGCAGCCGGCGTGGCCGCAGCGAGAAACTAGGTTGTTGAAACTGACATCTGTTAGCAGCTACTCATCCATACCCAATGTTGGTTATGTGGATATGGTCATGGGCTTAGGGAGGAAATCTAAGTTTGAAGCATGTTTGTGCATCTTCGGTCCTGTCTTCTTTTTGTCGGCGCACGTGGCACAGGTGTTACGGAACCTCTAACTCCAAACCCAAAAAGAGTTGAAAAAATCACTTTGCAGCTTTGGGGGGGGGGCCTAAACCCTACATAGCCCGCGCCTGCGTCGCAACCCTAAGCCCGTAAGTAAGCCCACGTTTCATCACGAGCGCTTTAGATGAGCTTGGTTCGAAGAGGTCGATTGGGTCTCCATTGCTGTTGCCGCCATGGTGATCGTCTTCTGGCTCAACGTCCGCACGCAGGTGGGGATGCCGAACATGGACGGGGGCGCACTAAGAAGATGCCATCTCGGATTACTCCCAAAGTCTCTCAACACCCGTCCCCCCCCCCTAAACCATAAACCCTAAACTAAACCCCTAAACCCTCAAAAAGCAGAACCCGATATGAGCCAGGTTGAGGTGGTGAATGGGCTCTTGCCCTCAGTCGTCCGGGCCACGCTGTATCCGAGCCCAGAAGCTGGAACCGTGCAAGAGCAGCGTCTCGAGTGGCTCCGCCCAAGCTACGGCAGATGTAGCTATCCCTAGGTTTAGGGTTTAGGGTTTAGGGTTCAGGGTGTAGGGTTTAGGGTTTAGGGTTTGTCCGGTAGGGAACCTTGGGACGTTTCACATTATAATTTCCTTTTGGTGGGATTTTCAGAGCTTTTGAAGAGCCGAAATAGGAAGACATCTTCGAGACTTGAGAGTGGAATGTAAAGACCTTGGGCTTTTCGGAGATCACGGGTTCCTAAGAAGTTACCCGACTCTCACGTAATATTGCTGTGCTTTTCTCAAAAGCAGGTATCTACCCTAACCCTAAACCCTAAACCCTGAACCCTAAACCGACTGCCGGAATTGGTGCGGACGGGAGTGGGACTTCGGGGAAACGGGGTTTCTTGCAAAAAAAGGGTTAATCGAAGCGGGAAGCGATCCTTAGGAACCGTCGCATTTTTGGGGATTCTGTTGAGCCAAACTTTTGGGTGACTTGGCTAAGACGGCGATAAGCACACTGCAGGCTCAACCAGAATTCAAAGCGAAGAACCCAAGGTGAAAGCAACAAACCTCCGTCCTCTTAGGTTTTTTTTTTCAGCTGTTAAGGGGTTGCAAGCATGTGAGAATTGAGTTTAGATTCAGGGTTCGGGGTCCTGGCACCAAATGAGCTCAACTACGTCTGCAAAGCAGAGTCCCCATGCAAAGCCTTGTCATCTCCTAGAGCATGTGCTTGATTGTTGCTCCGGAACTCGAGGTATCAGCCTACTGCAGATACTTGGTTCGCTGCGGCCGAGCAGATGGTCTTAGCAAATTCTGCCTGCATCGTGACACGTCTTGAAGCATTGCCTTGGTTCTCCTACGCTGGTGCCGTTAACCCAATTTGCAGAGTTTGATTATGAAAGTTGGTGCCGAGAAACCGACGCTAAACAGAGTTTTGGCCTTCTCAGGGTGTGTGAGCAACCTTTAACCCTTAAATGCCACAGGCTGGGCCTTGAGGCTTCGATTCGACTTGCTTCTATGTCATATATTGCAAGTGCACCGCTGCCCCACTACCTTCCAATGTCATACAACACGGCCCACAGACATTGAGGGTATCCAAAAACAGAGACCCAGGCTTGAGCACGTCAGCTCACGTCACCTATAGTGTGGTTGAGGGGCACCATGGGGCACCATGGAAACTAGCCAAGGTGATCATCATCCTCTACCCTTTGGTCGGCCAGACCCGTCTTTGGCAAGCTTTGCGTGTTGCGAACTTCGCGCCCCAAAGAGTCCAAGAGACCTCTGAGCCCCAATGACACCCTGGGAGTCACAGTGGCCTTGTTTGAGTTGCGGCCAAGCCAAGTTTCAGCTTAGGGAGTCTTTGTAGCTTGCTCTTAAGAACAAGAGCAACGTGCTGGCCCATCGGCCCAGAAACTCCAGTACTCCTTAACTAAGAATATTTCTTAAGCCCATCCAAGGAACCCTATATTAAATTTTAAGGAATCTTCCCCAACTAAGGGGTATAAGTTATAAGGGAGTTCCTGGGGGGGGGGCGTTCCAGGTCATCATGCTTCGGCTCTTCAAGTCCTTTCAGGCCCAGCCACGGCTGGCGATCGTCACGGCCGCTGAGCTTCAACTCCGAAGCCTGTCCATGGCACGTAGGCCCACGTAGGCTCTATAAAGGCACTTTGGGGGCTTCTTGGGGTTTAAGTAGGTTCTCGGGTTAGGGGCTAAGATTGTTTCAGGGCACTTTTGGGCTTCTTTAGGGTGTAGTAGGGTTTGGGGTTAGGGCTCCGGGCTAAGATTGTTTCAGAGCTCAGTTCAGTTGCTTCATGAAGAAGGGGTCATGTTATGGGAGTGCCCCACCCAAACCAAAATAGCGTGCGTATGGCAGGGATGGCGGTGTATATTGTCCCCGTTTAGTTCGAGGGCGAAGGTGGAGCCAGTGCACACCCTTCACGGAGAAGAGTTGGGTGACGGCCACACAGGCATCCAACAAAAGCACGCACACACACAAGCCTGTGAGCATCACAGCTTGGACCTGACACACTTTCAGAGCTCTATCTCACATGTCCGACCTGGGCGCCAGCAACCTGAACCAGCAAGAGCTAGAGACGCCGGCGAGGTCCTCGAAGAGCCCCCGTCTCTGAGGGGGCACCTGGGTGAACGCGACGCGGGATGATGCGGGCACGCAAGACCAGGTCGTCGCCCGCGTTTTGGAATGTGCACGGCGCCTCCACCAGAAACACAAGAGGGTCATCGAGGTCGAGTCCTCGTACGCGCACACACGCACGCGCACCATGGGTCATATTCTCAACTTCCTTTACTCCCAAGTAGTCAAGCGGGTGCTCTTGACCAGTTTGGGCTTTTGGCTGCACACTTTGGGGAGTTATGAGCGTGTTGCTGGAACTTAGCACTTGCGACATAATCATAACCCTATTGTTGCGACAAAATGGTACACTGATAGAGGAATACAGACATCAGAACGACATAGCATAGCAACAGAATACTAGAAGAACAGAGTAATGTATTGACATTCTTGACATTCTCCCACACAAAAGCCAGCTGAAGACTTGAAGATGGAAGCTCCCCTAAACCCTAAACCCTAAACCCTAAACCCTAAACCCTAAACCCTATAAAAAAACCTCCATGGAAGCTCCCTCCTCAAGGAGACCATCAAGACCGCAGTCCCCGACTTGGCCCACTTCTTCGTCGTCGCCCTTTGCATCTTCGGGTGCCTCTTTGCCGGGGCCTCGGGTGAAAAGCGGGGTGGGGGGTGGGGGTGCGTTTAGGGTTTAGGGTTTCAGGGTTTCAGGGTTTCAGGGTTTCCGGGTTTCAGGGTTTCAGGGTTTCAGGGTTTCAGGGTTTCAGGGTTTCAGGGTTTCAGGGTTAGGGTTCTAGGGTTCTAGGGTTTAGGGTTTAGGGTTTACCGTAGAATAGCTTTGAGGCACCGTTTTGTAGCCTTGGCTTTAGGTTTCGCTTTTCTTGTTGTTCATAGGACCCTTCGCCTTTGCATTACCTTTCTTTCCTGTTCCTGCCGTATGCCTATAGGCCCTCTAAAGCTACATTTCTAGCGGGGGAGAACCTAAGCTTTACAGGGCCTACTTGAATCTTAAAACTCAACATTGGGCATGAGGAAGGAAAAAAAGGGAACATTGCCCGATGCATTTTCCTCGAGAAAGACGTGAAGCACAAAGGCCAAAAGTCAAGAACCACCATCAAAGCACGCCCACAGTGGGACTCGACTAGAGCTAGCTTCGGAAATCTGCCGATTCACGTCATTTTCAGGTGAACAGCATTGTCATCTTCGGCCAGGATTTGGAAGCCTTCAGCATCTCGGGCGATTGAGCAACCATTGCCTTAAGTCCCCAACTCATGACGGCTACCCGGTTACCCTGCACCTGACATCTTCAAGCCCGAAGCCGAAAGGTCTTTCAGTCGAAAGCCAGGCACAATTCCGCGCGCTTTCAACTTCTGCCTGGCGGCCGTGCCGCCCGTCTGACCTCAGCCCTTTACATTGTGGTGGCTCATCGCGTGGTGGCTTGAAGTAATTCTGCATTCCACAGGGCTTGAGACAAGGTTGCGGCTCTCCTCCGTAGGTTTAGGAGCCTGTGCATCGTCAGCACATGATGTTTTCTGAATCTCAGCCCCCACACCGCTGGATCCGAACTCTACACTTCCCCCCGTCCCCGGGCCCTTTAGACTCTGCCTCTCATCATCGTTTCCCTTGCAAATCTCACCAGACGCTTTAGCCCTCTTCACCTTAGACCAAGCACACTCAAGCGCGACAGTGCCCCTGGCGAGGTTGGGCCAATGGCATTGGGAATCCCTGAAGGTCGGCTAAGGGGACATTTTTTTTCCATTTACAGGTTTCGGGGGTTGGTGGCGGATGCGATTGGTCAAGAATGTATAGTGCTTGGGCCGAGGACTTGAGCCTTTTCGGAGTATGTAAGAAGGCCCTTAAACTGGGCTGAAGATGACTTTACATAGGAACATTTTTTCAAGAGAGACCGAGGTTTATTGCCTGACTTGACTTCTTTTTGTTTTTGTTTTTGCCTAGCGTGTAGTTCAAGGTTTAAGGGTGCGGGCCTAAAGACAGCAGGGAAACCCTGGAAGACGGAAGCCCCAATCGTCTTGGGTTCGACCTTGAGAAGGCAGAGTTCCCTAGCCATGGCCCAAAGTGGGCAATGGGGCTCGAAGAGTCAAAATCAGGCGTTTTGTTTACAAAGAACTTTGGAGCCATCGATGTTTGGGCTCTCTTTTGACTAAGGGTTCAATGAGGGCGCGCGAGAAGAGATGTCCTTCCCTTGTGGGCGGAGGAAGTCGGGTACATGAATGCCGCCACGTGGCTCTGGATCTTCAGTATTGCGGCTTGGATTAGAATGCAGTGGTCCATCGTCTGATAGGTTTGGGAGCTTCCTCTTACTCTTGAAAAAGGTTTCCAGTTGTTTTTCTAGGTAGGCCTGAACCTTCTAAAGCCAAAAAAAGAATCCGATGGCAAGTTGCATTTGTCTTCCAGGGATCTCTAGAACACTGCGAGGGACACTTTTTTAAACCTTCAACCCTAAACCCCGAAGCCCGCTTTAGAGGGTTCAGGGTATAGGGCACATTTTTTCGAAATTGCGTGAGGGAATCTGCGTGCAGCGTCTCATGCTATGTCATGTGGATGACGAGGGGCTTTTGTCCTTGGGTCGGCGGTTGGTGTGCAGCTGTTTCGTTTTACCGGCCGCCCTGTGGAAAAAACAATTTGTTCGCAACCTCTTAAATCTGCACTAAAGATGCCCAAACCTCAACACGAATTGCCCCGCAACCGTCCCAACACAGTTTGCCTACCCACGACTTAGTTTGCCTTGAGGTTGCTAGAGCTCACAAGCCCCAAAAGGTAATCAATGCCTGGTTTAATACTTGGGGTCTGAACAACCCGGTATTTGGATTGCAAGATTCATCCGAAAAGTCATTCCAAAAAAGATGCTCTTGCATGCAACGGGAAATGTATCAGCTAAAGCTCGCCCAGCTGAAGCGTGCGGAAACTACGGCTACATTCCAGGCAGTCATGCTCAGGGTTTAGGGTTGCTTTGAACCCTCAGTCCTAAGCCCAAATCGCAAAGCACCCCAATCCAGAACCTGAGCACCCTGTGATCGTGAAGGTGATGTCGCTGATCTTCCTGAACATGCTTCTGGCCATTGTCCTGGATTCCTACGCTTATGAGAAGGCACCCGATACGTCACACCCCTGTTGCATCATGTGCCCAGCCAGAGCCTAATATCAGATAAGCAAAGAACTTCTAAGAGCTGTTGAATGGAGATCTGCACGGTACTGCTTGATGCTTATAGAGAATTGTCACCAGCGACGGCTCAGGCTGCAAAGGGGATCGTGGATCAGGGTTAGAGACCCTTCCTGCACCCAAGAGGTCTTGCTTCCCAAGCCTCAACCCTAAAACCCCCCAAGCCCAAACCGCCAAACCCTAAAACCCCAACACCCTAAAACCCTGAACCTCTCGGCTTTGCCAGCGGGTGTGAGAGAGAAGCCCTAAACCCCTAAGCATGTGCCCAAGATGTGTCGGGCCCCTACGCCTGAAACCACGCGTTCTTTCCCTATAGGCTACACTAAACGGCAGCACTCAAGACTGCAAAGACAAAGCCCCCCGTGCCTCAAAAAGTGTTCAAACCCTGCACCCCTAAACCCGACCCTACACCCTATATAGCGAAGCCCCGAAGCCTCCCTAAACCCTAAACCCTAAACCCTAAACCCCAGGAGAAGGCCTCCGAGCTGAAAACCCTCCTCCAGCAGCTGTGGGAAGTGATCCGGCGGCGCCAACAGCGGCGCCGCGGCCAGCGAGTGAATCTCCAGGTCGGGGGGGGTTTAGGGTTTAGGGTTTAGGGTTTAGGGTTTAGGGGGGTTTAGGGTTTAGGGGGGTTTAGGGTTTGGGGGGGTTTAGGGTTTAGGGTTTGGGGTCATAAGACCCGAAGCAAAAAGGGTTTGGGGTCATGACCTGAACATGTCGGGGCGTAGCCTTCCAAGGCCTGCTGCAAAAGTGTTTAGGCTCTTGGAGGGGTTTAGGGGCTTCCAGGGCTTATGGGGAGGTTTAGGGTTTAGGGTTTAGGGCTGTTCGAGTATGGGTTCAAGAGGTTTCGGGTTCAGGGTAGCTTCCTTGGCTGAGTGCCAGGAGATCTGGGACGCCTTCCTGGTGGAGTTCAACAATGATGTTCCCGAGCGGCAAATTAGACCTTCAACTTCGGGTTTCAGGGTTTACGGGTTTACTAAACCCTAAACCGTAAACCCTGAACCCCAAACCCTAAACCCATGTTTTAGGTTTTTAGGGTTTCAGGGTGTTAGCAGGCTTGGATCTTGTGGCTGCAGAGATGGTGCTTGGGTGCAGTACCGCCGGCTCCGTAACTCGAAGGATGCGATGCAGACTGAAGACTTGGGAAATCCTAAACCCTAAACTGAAAGAGGTGAAGTCGATGATGGTGAACCGCACCCTGATCACGCCAGACTCCCTGATGACCCTGGGCCGCGAGTCATCAGTCATTCAGTCCTTCCTGATCCCTATAAAGCTCTTAATATACGGGTCGGAAGAATTATTAAAGGTATTCCCTTATGGCCCCGTTTTTACTTATACTACAAGAACTCACTAAAACCCCCATTATTAAGTCTCCTACATGATGCCCGACAGTTCAGTTGCGGTGGCTGAGGAATTCGGTGCCACAAATTCCCGAGCAGCAGGCCCGAGCAGTTCGGGGGCTTGAGATCTCATCGCAGAACTCCATGAGAGCTCCCCTGAGCACCCCAAACGCAAACAAAAAATGTAGCCTAACCCCTGAACCCTCAGCATTTGCCCCGCGGTGTGGCTTTGGGTCAGCAAGGCGGGAGGCAGAAAGAAGCCCTAAACACCCTAAACACCCTAAACACCCTAAACACCCTAAGCACCCTAAGCACCCTAAACACCCTAAACACCCTATATAAGCACCCTAAGCACCCTAAGCACCCTAAGCACCCTAAGCCTCCAACTCGAACGAATCTTCCCTGCGTGGTGGGGGAGGCGTTGCGAACCCTGGCGAACGCCTTGCAGCGGCAGGCGGCCCGGGGTCTCCCCAAGCTCCGTGTATACCTTGTGCGCCATATGAACCCTAAAGTGGTTTAGGGTTTGGGGGTTTAGGGTTTAGGGTTTAGGGTTTAGGGGCTGAGGATTTAGGTTTATGGGCTCATATGCCCTAGTAGGGAGTATAGTAGTCAGAGGGCATATGATTCAAGTTTTGGGGTTTACTTGGTCCCGAAGGAAAGGCGCAGTGTTTATGGTTAGGCGCGTTTTGGGGAATCGGGCGGCATCGTGCTGTACCTAAGCTAGCTACCTCCATGCGGGGTCTCAATAGGCGATGCTCTTTTTTTCCGCCGAGGGCTATGAGAGGTGTGAAGAGAATGGTTTCACAGCTCTTCGACATAACGAGGGGAATGTCCAGGGCGACAGCTTAGTTGACCCCCCCGGTACGGCTCAGGCCCGCCCCTGAATCAAAAAACTGCGATGAAACACTTCCATGTTCAGGTATACCCGGCACAAAATCAGTCCAACTAATTCCAAACCAGAAGGAGCGCCTGGAGATTGGGCATTTGACGGAGGAGGCTGGCCCCGGGTTTCTGGTTAGCCTGCTTTAAAAATGAATGAGGGCTAGGGCTTACAGGGTTTAGGTGTAGCAATATGGCAACATCAAGTCAGGGCCCTTGCTTTCTACTTCGTTTGGAGACCAATGCAGCTTACTATGAGTGTTTTCCATCCAAACAAATCCCTTCTTT